TCCTTTGATGTTCTTACGGTACCTGAATATCGCAGTACAGAAATATTCACCCACACTCGCAAAGTTCTATAAAATATTTCCCCTAACAAGCTATATATTTTCTAGAAGCGGACGATACCAGGATTATGTATATGTCCCTGATATTGCAATTCGTTTCCAAAGAAAAAAGTTCCGATTATGTATATGTCCCTGATATTGCAATTCGTTTCCAAAGAAAAAAGTTCCAAGTGTTTTTATCCCCAAGACGTGGTCCAATTAGAAGCCTGTATCTCTTCCAAATCAAATTAAATCACTCTGGAATTTTCTGCGTTATCGAGGGAGGTTCACTTAATATTGCTAATACCCTCGCAAAACAGTCTGCCTTCGTAGTGGCTGCCTGTAGAGGAAGTTTCTGATAAGAAACGCAGCTAGGTGGCGAAGGCTAATTTACACATAATTTATGAATTTCTTGACAAATTGAAATGAATTATGTTTTATACATTATTCAAAGAAGAAATTCTCCTTTTTCTAGTTTATACTTTTGCCGCCGACGACATGACCTAAAAATCAAAATCATTTTTAGCACAATTCTTCTGTAAAAACAGCTCAATGCACATTTACTTTGAAATTATATTATATGCAAATAGTTTTAATATGTATGTTTATCATCGTTCTTCAATCTTCTGTCCTAGGTAAGCAGGGTCAGTCTGCTTCCTGTCCCAATGTGAAGGGAGGGTGAGCCAAAATTCCACCCTATGGCATGTATGGTGGCGATAATTACACCCAAATATAATAGATAACTTAATAGCGTTTTGATATCAGCCTTAGGTTCTCTCCCCTATTTAATAAGATATGTTTAAATCACTCCAAATATATTCATCATCTGCACCTACTTTTTCCAGCTCTTTCTCCCATTCTGCATGTCTTGCCTACTTTTTCAGATCTTAAGTTTTTGGGACCTATAGCCAGGCAGGTGTAAAAGATTATAAAATTTTTTTGTACAAAGACCAGATTGTAAATAGCCGGTTTCCATTCCTGTCAACTATCTTCGAAATCTCCTCAAACTGTCGCTATCCTTTCTTACTCATCTTCATTCTTTTGTAGAACATTGATGTAGTGTTCTGAACAGATTTCTCAAAAAAACTTTTGATGTCGCTTGTTGTCCTTGGGTGTATTGGGTTTGTTGTTGCAACTATTATTTTCAGAAAAAAAACAAGAAGTCAAAAAAATATTGAATTTTTAGTGCGTCTTTAATCCAAGTCCATTCAAGTTTGAATAAATTATCAGTCATTGCGCAGCATTCATACTGTACAATAATGCAGGGTCAATCACTTAAAGCACTGTCAGCTACACTTAAGGACCATATCTATGCTTTTTTACATATGTTATTCACAATGCGCAAACTTAAATTCTTGCACTACACGTAGATTTGAAAAGTGCTACCGTAAAAGGGTTTTTTTGAAGTTGTGCTTTTTCTGTGACTCGTGTATTTTTTTTGCACTTTTTATCACTGTCGCCACAAAGTACTAACTACCAAGTGCATTGTTGTTACACTGTCACCGATAACATCAACCATAATGCAACTCAGATGTTTTATGGCGCTTATTTTCTTTATCGTTATTAATTAATACCAATTTCAGATGGAATCGTTGCGTAGATTCGGCACGACTATGCACGAATTCTGGCGGGGCGTTGTCGAATGGCGAAGCCCTGCCTCTGGGCCATACCTAATGATCGTGAACATCGCATTTTGGTCAGTTGTATAATCTTATTGCGAAAACGGTAGAGCGTTACCTTTTGTTAAGACTGGAATTCCCCTTAAAACTTTCAATGTTTCTTTGAAGATCTCATAAGGTCGGCAAAGCTCTTAAAAGCGGTATCAACATTAGACCATTTTCATCGTGCAGATTCCAGTTGATATATTTGAAGCTGACAAATAATATTTGGCTAGTTCATCTTGAATTAAAAATACGCTATTTTAGGTCCGCTGCCCTATACTGCTCTGAACTAGTCCAACTCCGCTTACTTTGGTCAATTGCTGCTGGAGTAGTCGGATGGGACATTCTACTGGCACCAACGCATGAACATAGTATAGCGACGCATATCGCGTTGTGGCCAGTACAGTCTATCTGGAGGGTATGTTTGGCATCAAATGCAATTTTTCTATTTTTAGTAGTACCATTTTTGGTTTTGTTATTTTCAAGATTTTATTTTTTAGGAGTTCTTGATTTGTACAATTTTAGTGACACAAAACTTTTCTAGACTTTGTCAGTTTGTGGTTGCCTCTACAGCTCGCATCAATTAAAACTGCAACAGCTAGAAAGCGCTTGTATAACAGCGTACGCTACAGGTACAAGTTCTTCGCTGCATCGTTTCTGTCTACAAAACCCGTGGCAACCGGTACTGTATTTCTTGCAGTGGGATGTCTTCTTGTGAATCCTGTATGGAATTACTATGAGGTCAACCAAAAGATAGCCAATGGTGCACTCTACTGCGGTAAGAAGGCAGCAGATGTTGCAACGGTAAGTCTGGGAGGTAAAAAATGTCGT